ATTGTGGGATTCCAAACTTAAAAATGTCGAATACCGGGATATGCTTGTCAAGGAAACCTTAAATATACATCCTGTGGCAGCATTACTTCTTTCTCACCACGGTCTTGAAAACTATAATGTCAATGGCTCCCAAATTTTAAAATACGACCGTGTAATAATAAATGCATAGGATGTCGGGAGATATCAGTACGTGTAGCCCAAACCCGACAAGTTCCTCTCCAACAGGTTTCTTGGAAATGGTATAGAGATCTGGGTAAGGGTTTCCAGCTTACACCATTTGGTTTTGGCAGAAAAAATTTCCCTGGATTGCAGTTGGGTCTCATGGTGGTTCAGCAAGTGGTGGCACGGTTCTTTTTCCATTTTTATTGGAGTTTATGAATGGAATGTTAACCAGTGATCTGGACATGAATGAACAGTACGGCATAGAAACAGTGACGACAATGGTTGAGCCACTATAGACTATACTTGGCGATTGAGTTAATGACACATTGTTGGTATGAATTGTCCAACTGATCTATAAATTTGGGACATACTTGATTTCATCTATATGATGCTTGTACAGTTCTTGCTGCTAAAAATTGAAACGTTTATATAACATGTAATAGTAGACTACATTCAAGCTTTTGCAGTTCATCATTTCAACTGATGATCAAGTTATCTAGCGTGAGACTTACTTGATTTCTCTAGTACTATTGCTTGATTGAACTGAAGTTGTTTTGTGGCTAATACTGACAAATGGAAAGCCAATAATACACACGTTGTCTTTATAAATCCTCAACCAAGTAAACAGAAGAATTAAGCAAGAACCAGCATACAAAAGGAATGTTCTGCATCAACTTAAAGAAACAATGATTATTCAAACTTCAGCTTATTATCTACTCAATCCTAGCAATTCATAGAATAGTATCAACAAGCTCATCAAAAAAAAAGCCAACCTTAATTTCTAAAAAAGGCACAAATACATTAGAAGTTTATCTGATGTATCATTTTAGTATTACAGACAATACCAGAATCAAGATGAGAATGGGAAAGAGTAAAAGAAGAGTTCTCTGTTATTACCATGTGAAATGTCTCGGAAGGTCCCCTACAAGAAATAAGAAATCTTTTAAAATCCAATTAAATAAGCAAAAAAGGGAGTTATTAGAAAATTGTAGTATACCAGCAAAAGCTAATGCTCCATGAACTCGTCAGTGATTTCTTCATTTTCACTTTCTTCTTGTTCTTCACTTTCACATTCTCCTTGTTCTTTTCTTTCACTTTTCGGGCCAGAGATTATGACTTTGAACTCTTCATTTCCAACGTCCAATTGTTCTTCCAGAATTTGCTTAGTAGATAATTCAACAGCTTTTGTGCACCAATGTACCTCTATCATTTGTAACGTTAGAATACCTCCGAAACTGGGAGGGATTCCATTCTTCAAATTGTAGCAATTTTGCAATACCAGTCGTTGAATTGTTGGAAAATTGTCACCTAAGGCATTCCATTCTGCAAGTTGTACATCATAGAGTTTCAAGAATTTAAGTTGTGGGAATTCACCTTCATTCGTGTCCCACTGTTCTCCTTCAAAGGCTACATGTTGTAATTTGAGAACCTCAAGGTACTCCAGTCTCCCAATTGTCTCCATTTGTTTCGGAGACACGTGTACGTTAACTAGAGTCAAATATTTGAGATTTAAGGGCGGAGTTATCAAACTGGAAGATGGAACTCCCACGTTTGATTGAAGCCTCAGTGATTCGAGCTGCTTAAGGGAGTCAAAAGAATAATTGAGTGAAGATCCAACCTCACCTTTCAGTCTGCGAAGATTGTGTAAACATCTCAAAATTTTCTCATCTGTTTCATCGAAAATTCTGATAACAGAAATACTTTGTAAGTTACTACTTATTTGGAAGCTTTCAACCATGCTTGCTTGCTGACGACAAGATGCACTAAAGTATGCACCACCCGGGAAATGCATATGTCTCAAACTCAGCATAGTAAGAAGGATCTCAGGTATTTCAATTTTAAAATTTGTATACACCCTAAGATATTCTAGCTTGTGGAAGCTTTCCATTGGAGGCAGTTTAAATGAAATTATCAAATACCTCAAGTGAACCAGATGTTCGATTCCTATTAAATGATGATCATTTGGGACTCTTGAAAATCTGAAGGCCCTAAGAACTTTGAAGCTGGATGTGATTATTGTGGACCGCTCAACAAGATGACCACAACGAAATAGAACAGAACGCACGCGTAGGCCAAAAGGCAGTGAGTGAATTCGAGATTCCCGCCAGTTGATATTCACACAATTGTGTTGCCTATGTATCAATACTTGACTGAAGAACATTGGCGGATCATCTTCATTACTTGTAACATAATTAATGCAATCATCAAATATTGAAACTATTATTAATAGGATAAAACAAAAACTGACAAAAAGGAAAGAAAAAGAAGGAGAAACAGTGAACTTACTAGTTGACCATCTTCCAAAAGTTCATTTTTTCACCTATTCTTGAGCACATTTCATGCAATAGATCATGAATCTTACAAGTTTTGACTTCTCCATTTGGTCTCCGTTTGTGAACAATTATCAAGCTCCTATCAATTAGTTCCATCAGATATTTTAGTGCCACATCCTCTAAGCACTTTTGCTCTTCCTTCTCTATAAATCCTTCAGCCACCCAAAGAGATATCAACCCTCGTACGTAGATTTCATCGTCTTCCTCAAATGTTCCAAAGTAAAGAAAACATGGCTTTAAATGGTTTGGTAAATGCTCGTAGCTAAGTTCCAATATCTGCATGAACTTGTTTGGGTTGTCTGATATATGTGAACTTAAATTTCTTGCAACTTCTTGCCACAAGTGTTCTTTCTTCTCCATGTTTGAAAGAATTGCAGCTATCACGACCACTGCAAGTGGTAGGCCATGACAATTTTTTGCAATTTGCTTCCCAATGTATGGCAATTCTTGAGGACAATTTCCATCTTCGAACACTTTCCCTTGTAATAGTTTCCAACATTCAGCATCAGACAGCAAAGGAAGTGCATTTATAACACTATGAGGTGAAGCTTCCGAACCAACTTCTTTATTTCGAGTAGTGAATAAGATTCTGCTTCCAATTCTATCGTTTGGAAAATATCTTTCCAAATCATTCCACACATTGATATCCCATATATCATCTATCACGATGAGGTACCGGCATCCTTTTAAACTTTTGTAAAGTTTTTCTGCCAAACTTTCCTCCGCCTTATTCTCAAGTGTTTCTCTTTTACTGTGATTTATTGAGCACAGCATTTCAATCAACAAAATTTTCTTATTATATGTTTGAGAAACAACACCCCAGGAACGCTTGTCAAAACGATCGACAACAGAGGGGTCATTGTACAATATATTTGCTAAAGTGGTCTTACCAATTCCAGGCATCCCAAAGATGGAAATAATTTGCAGCTGGTCTGGTCCTCTAACAAGTTGTCCCACAATTTCAGTTGCCACTTTCTCAAACCCCACAATAATGTTTCCAAAAACAGGATATTTTGTAGATTGCGATGATACCTGTTCAGCTGGACATTTTGCAACTTCTAGTATCCCAGCTGCGTCAATATTATTCTTCATTTCTTTGATAGCTATCTTAATAAGCTGAATCTTCTCAATGAGCTGGGGGAGCCTGAGGGTGAGATACCAAACATGTGGAAAAGAGTTGATAACATA